CGATTGATCAAACGCGTCCGGATCGACGCACACACGCGGAGCTCTTGTGCCTCATCTCACGTATCACGTACTTTCCACCGACAACGAGATGAAAAAAAAAAAAAAAAAAACTAAACTTAAACTCGAGAGTAGTTTTTTTTTGTCTCTTTTATAAAATATTTCCCCGTCTTTGTATTTAGTTCCTCTTCACACTTGTAGCGTGAAAAACAAAATTGTGAGAAACAATGTGATTACATTATTACATATTCAATGATTTGATAAACCGCTGAATTTTTTTTTTGTTTTTTACTGTCATTCCGAAAGTTTCCGAAAATTCACCGATGCACACCGAGAGCAAAATGAGAAAGAAAGACAGAAAGCGCGGTTTAAAAAATTTTTTTTTTCTTTTTCTCGGCAGTTTGCCGTGTACTCAAATAACGCAATACTCGGTTTGTGTGCAAGCAAATGGACGTTCCCATTCCGGCTGCATTTGTAATTAATGAAGAGACGCACGGCGCCGATAAAAAAAAAAAAAAAAAAACAGGACGGACGCTGCGTGGACGCTGAGATTGCGACCCAACTATTTAGAAGAGATACGCGCGTAGGTAGCTACGTACGTATATACACGCGCGAGAAGAGGTGTATCTATCTCTCATTTGCATCCCTCCTCGCGAGAATAGGAGGCAGCTGGCGGTTGTTGGTCAGCCGGCGCTTGGTCAGAGCGTCGCCGCTCTTGCTCTCTTCATCTCGTTCCACCGACCAAGAAATTCCTAGACAGTGGAGGCTCTGTGCGTCTCTCGACGTTTCTGCACGGTTTCACCGCTCAGGATTTCCTGTTTCCTGCATCTCGCGGATGCACGACTCCAACGGGGCGCTCCAACGTCGCTTATAACAGCAGCAATAACGCGTTCGCGCCCGCGAACCCACCACTCTCTCTCTCTCGTCTCTCTGATGCGTCACGTCTAAGTGTGACCACGCAAAAGTGTGTAAACTCACGGCGCAACACGACGACGATAATAATAAAATTCATATCGAACGCATACTTGGCTAATTAAATGTTCCTCGGTGACGACGATCTTTGCCGCCACACATCGCGCGTCCTTGTGTTTCTATTTAAAAAAAAATATATATTCACACTTTTATCGTCTCTTTCACATTTTTATCATCTTCCACACGTACACACATCCGTCACTCGAACACAAAATACGTGTGCACACAAAGCGGTCGGTATACCTGCCATTTTTTCCTTACATTGCAATTCTCTCGCACAGGCACGTTCGATCGAGTATGGTTGAACGAACGACCTTAGAAGAACACAATGTGAATCTTTTAACAGTTTGTATTACACATATTTAAATTTAGAATCTTCTTTTCATTTTTTTTTTTTTTTTTTTTTTTTCAATAATTTTTTCCAAATTGCTACGATTTTTTTTCCGAACGTGAGAAAATGCGCGATCTCGATCTTTATATTTGCAACAACGTGAGGACACAATGTAGGATTTTATTTTGTACAATTTACGATCTTATAGAGTATTTATTTTATAATGCGACACACACACACACACACAAAAGGCATACTCGTGACAGCATTGACTCGTGAATCGTTTTTAATTCTCGATCCATACAAGTTCAGAAAACCTGGGACAGAGGAAAAAGAAAGAGGACCTCTTTGTCCGAAGATCTGATGGAATAAATAATCGTTTTATACGATTATATTATTTACGAATGTGTGCGCGCGCGTGTGACTATAAATTGAAGTGAAAACTGTAGGGACAACACTATATATTTACCTAATATTTTATATCTCGTAGCAACAAGATAAAAAAAAAAAAAAAAAACGAGCGAAATTAAATGAGAGTATTAACACGCACAAGATCTGATTTCTCGTACCTCTCCGTGTTCATAAAGATTCTATTCAGCACTATGCTCCTTTGATTCTAGCTTGCGCTTCTTATTCTACGATGGTAATTAATAAACGAATTAATAAATTACTTGGCGCTGTACGCGCGCGCACGCACGCACACACAGGAATTTCATCTTCCACGATCGAATTCCTTCAATCTCGCTCATGTTGAGTTCGAGAAATTGTGAATTCAAGAATGTCGCGCGTTCGCGATAGTGAGCAACACATCGCAACTGATCCACTTTGGTATAATGTATATATATATATATTACGAAAGAGAATCTCATTTGTACACAATGAAATAAAAAAAGTTGACGAATAAAACGCGTCACAATGAGTTTTTTAACGTTTTATTTGGTTTTTTTTTTTTTTTTTTTACATCTCTTTGCTACTTGAGAGAGAGAGAGAGAGACTTAGTTGCAATATATATGTTTCTTCGGAGAAGAAACGCAATTTTTCGCCGACAAAGAGTCTAGTGTGTATCGCAGCAAATACCGTCAAACAGCGGGCGGCGCGCGCTTAATAACTGCGGCCCCGCTATAAAGCAATAAGTAATCACGCCGTCGCTGGTTAACTGGGTTAACGGCGGCGGCGACGACGTTGAGAGATATGAAAACGTGATCGAAAATGGAACGGTTCACCGGCCGCGAGCGCATACCGGAAGTGCAATTTCGCGGAGCGGCGGCGACGACGACGACGAGGAGATGGCGGCGCAGGAGCCACCGAAAATAACCCCGTGTCGACGACGAAACACTCAGTCAAGACGCTCTATGAGAAAGGGTCGCTTAACTCGTTAGCAAGCTTTTGTTCGACAAAAAAAAAAAAAACTGACTCAAGGTTGAACCGAAATGTACTTTTATTGCCCCCCCCCCCGACGAGTTCGCGCAAATGCGACTCTGAACGCTCTTGTTTCGAGCTTGTGCATCATTTGTAAATGTTTTTTTTTTTTTTTTTTTTAAGTTAAAACATTGCACTCTCTTTGTTTCTTCACGCGTCTTACGTTGTTTTTTTTCTCAAAGGAAAATTATTATTTTGTATTTAATAATATCTTCTTCTGTGCGTGTGTGCGCATCTTATACAAGACTTTTATCACTTCACGCGCGCGTTTCTGTTTCTTCTCATTGACTCGTATTTTATGAAGGAAGAGACGTAAACCACTCTTTTTCGCCATTATATCTCAATGTATATGAAGAAATACTGATCAAAATTGTGTTAAAAGAAAAAAAGACCTTGAGAAGGATTTTCTTTCTCTCTTACACGTGAAAATAACTAAGTTCTTAATTTCCGCGTTAAAAAAAAAAAAAAAAAAATACGCAGAATTGACTGATTCATCGTGCAAACTCTTTTTTTTTTTTGTTTTGTTTTGTTTGCACCCAACGCCACGTTTATTGTTACATGCTGTTTTGCACCAACGCGTGTATGCAAAACAACTCAAGCCGTCAAACTTTTATCACACAAAGAACCGAACAATCTGGATTTTAGATCTGCAACGACTAATTGATTGTTAAAACGTGACCGGAAGTAGAACAAATTGTTTTATCAGAAAAAAAACAAATATTCTGGCGTGTCTTCGCCATTTGCTCAAATAAAAGTTTTCGATGTTTCAAACATGTCTCTTCGGATTGTTTATGCGAAAAAAACAAGGAGTCACATCCTTCCAATCGCATAATATTTACTTTGTGTATCGCACAATGCGAAAAGAAATCTTTGATTCTACTTTCTAAATGTTTTTTTTTTTTTTTTTTTTACATAATTGTTTTACTTCTTACACTACTTCTTGTGTTCTCGAAGAAAAAGCGAGGTGTACAATTACTATCGGTGTTTTACACTTTTTTTTAATGAAATCGATGGAGCGAAGTGACGTAACGGACAGTTATTTAAGAGCCACTGAGTTTAGACAAACGGTTTTTTTTTTGCCTCTTTTGCGCGCGCGACAATAAGAAAATAAATTTCACTTGCAAAATATTGATTTCTTCCCCTCGTGCGGCGTCTTCCTACTCGCCGATATGTCTCGTCGATTACCGCGAGATTTATCGAATCGGTAATAGTGGTAAAAGAAGCAAATCGGATTTTTCTGCTCGATTGCACCGTCAAGGTCGTCTGGGGCGACTGTGGAGAAAGGATTGAAGGCGCCATTCGGAAGATGCAATTACACGGGGCATCCACGTGTTTTTCCCTTGAAAATCATTGAGACACAACTACAAGAAGATGATAACTTAAATGAAAAAACAAAAAAAAAAAAAAAGATTCGCGCTCTTGAAGATCCCAGCGTGTTGCGTAAAACGCGTGATCTTATAAAATAATAATGTTAAAGCGTGAATAAAGACGGAAACAATAAATTATTTCTTGAATTTGTTATTGCGTGCAGCGCGCACGTTTGAAATTTTGAATCGATTATTAAAATAGAGACCGTAGTAGTGTAAATTTTTTTCATTTTATTTGAACGCGCGCACAAAAACGAATCAGAAATAACGAACAAATGACGTCAAGTGTATCACTCGTAACATATATATATATATATATATATCTGTCTCGCATCAGTCTCGATTTTCACATATGAGAATCATTCGATATATCATCGGAAGAGATCAACATTAGATATTTTAGGAACTTGCTTTCGGCAATAGTGTGTGTTATAGCCAGCTATCTTCTTCTGTAATTTATCATCGCGTCTCGCCATTCTCTTACTGGTAGTACAACTAGTAGTGTGTGTGTGAACGTTCTATTGGAAAAGTTCCAAAATGTATTTTATAATTTTGCGCATGTGCGTCCCGTCAGATCCCGCGAAACTTTCTTCTCGAAGTTATCGGAGATGTCGCGCGTTACAATGTAATTTCTGAAATTACAGTTTTTTTTTTTTTTTTTTTTTTGGTGTGAAAATTACACACGAGAAGATACGCAGCTGTATCGCGTGTTTGAATTTGCAAATATAAGTTTAAACAATTCGAGAGCCAAAAGCGCAAACTCAGACGCGCTGTGATTTACATTCCTCTCTCTCTGTCTCTTATCAATTTCCGATTCCTAACGGAAACAGGTGAGACAATCCGCTAATCAGTTGGTTTCGCGTGTCACATCTCGCTCGTTCATTCATTTGTCAAAACATTTGGAGATTCGCGTGTGCTTCGTGTTTAGGTTAAAAAATCTGCGTGGAAATCTAAGGCGCGATTTGAACGAATAATAATTAAAAAAAAAAAAAGCTTAATGGAAGCGAGTTCTTCCAGAAATAGAGAATCGATTGGCGCGAGTGAGGAAACCGCGTTGGAACTTCGTAAATTGCGAGAAGCTGCCAAACATGCGGCTATTTATCACAATCACGAGAGCAAGTTTCAGAGAAGGACAGATCTTTCGCATGTCGTGCACGCCGGTCTACACTGTGTCCAATTTGTAAGAAATTGACATGATGAAAAATTTCTTTCAACTGTGAGCACAGACGTGAATTAATCATCTCTGTCTCTCTTTCTCTCTCACTCTCTTTCTCTCTCTCTCTTTCTCTCTTATGTGTATGAAAAACGTTTATTCTTTCCACGATCTATCTTTCTTATCTGGCAAAAAACCACGACACGTAATAATTCAAGATATAGCATCGCTATCTTTTTACGTGCCGTATTCCAGACGACACGGGACGAAACAACTTTATACCTGAGGTAATGCAAACGAGCAGCGACCCAGTTTTTTTCGGCCCGGATTACTTTGTCGTCGCGCAGTGATTCAGTAACGATCTCGCGAATCATCACGCGACACCGATAATTTTTGTTATGTCATCCGATATGACATGCGTCAGAGACACGCATCAAAAATGCGTTTTATATATATATAATACATATGTGCGCACATATATATATATATATATACATATATATGTGTATATAAACATGCGTGTCAAGCACGTGTGCTTCGCGAATTTTAATCGTTTCGGACAGAAAAAAAAAGGCCGACGTTCCGCGGTGTTCGATTACTCGCGTGTTCTCTACTATATTATTTTTCAGCTGACAGTTTTTGTCACGAATTAGTCGAAACCTGCTAAAACCATTGTTGACATAATAAAGCGCGATCATAATTCTGAGTTAGCGAAAATTGACGAGAAACGTGCGCAAAATTGCTTTTACAACAAATTTCTTTTTTTTTTTTTATTACATCTCGCCGCGCACAAGTTAGAGATAAGAGAGTTCAAGTTTCTTTATATAATTTTATCTTTTTTTTTTTTTTTTCATTGCTTTCACATCAGACATCTAGAAATTTATTATATGTATCTTTTTGTAGGTGGTTGCGTCGGCCATTGAAATTTTTCATCACGTGCATCATTATGTGAACGAAAGAGCGCGCGAAGAGGACGATACGATCCCAGAATTGCCGGAGGAAAGAAATCCCATTTTCTTCGTGTATCCTATTTGCATGTTGGCGAGCCTTGTTCTCGCGATCCTTTGGCTTGTTAAGAAACTACACTACAGACCTTTGATAGTGAGTCCGTTTCCCCTCCCCCCCCCCCCCCAAAGAATATTCTTATAAATAATCACGCGAGACGTGTGTTCAGTTATTTATCTGATAACAAGTGCTATAAATATTTATTTATGTACATATGTATGAGATGACAAATACGGTGGCGACGAAAATAAATTTTGTAAGCCTCTCGTAGCGTGCACGACCGGGGCTATTCTGATGCTTGTGACGGGAATAATGGAGATGAGACATGCCGATATTTACATTGACATTACCGAATTTACCGATGAGGAAATATTGGAGCATCCCGTATTTATTCACAATTTTGTGATGTGTATATTGTCGATATTTGTCATGACTCTGTATTTGGTTCAAGCTTGGGTTCTCTTCGATCAGTGGCAGTGGGTGTGTGTGTGTTACGATTTATAAACTTGAAAATTCAATCTTCGTTTTTTTTGTTTTTTAATTGCGTGTCTTCTCTTATTTATTTTATTAAATAACTTAAAAAAAAAAAACCTGTTTGCAATTTTAGATTCGACGAGAATCAGCAAGTTCAACGGATATTACGCAAAGTTCTGACTCTAGTGTGGATACCGACGTAACTGAAGATTCTATTATTGAAGAAAAGATCGATAGACTCGGGCAGACTGTAGAACTGGCACCAATTCCTACTTTGAGAGATTTATCCGTTCCCTCTGCGATTGTTGTAAGAGAGCGACAATTTGTCGATTTATTCACTAGTTTACTAATGTTTTAACACAAGTAGACTTTTTTTGTTTCTCGTAAATAAAAAAAAAAACAATTTTTCTCTCGAAAATGATCGTGTGTGATTGATTTTACTTCTGAAATTATATTGAATAATCAGTACAACATAGGTATCTTCTTCAAACGTGGATATTTTTCAAAAAGATATGCAAATATTTGCATATCTTCCGAGTGTGTTAAAATATTTTTTTCAACATATGGGAAGATGTTATTTGAAAACAAAGAGTTCTAAAATTTTATCAACAACATACGAACATATATATTTCACTTCTTTTTAGGAAATAGATGAGGAACCACGTCTCTATTGTTGTTTCGTCGACTGCTACAATTATATTAGAACAAAACTGGAAAGTAAACCAAAACACGAGTTCCAAGTAGTGCACGTTATGTAACATTCTCAAAAAAAAAAAAAAAAAACGATAAAAATTTGCATCGATTTAATTATTTTAATCGCACAAACGGGAAAAAATATAACGATCGCCGGTACGGCAGTTGTTTGAACACTCTGTTTCACCGCGATGTTTCTCTCCCAGATTTGATAGCCTTTGCGCCATCTTGAAGAGACTGTTAAATGCCAGTGAGTAAAATGCTGTTTAAGCTCTGCGAATAAAACAGTTAATTAATAACAAGCAGTTTATAAAATATACGCGTGCATTTTCATTAGACATTTTTTGATTATTAAAATGTATTTTTAATCTGTTCGCGCGATTGTGAATAAATTGTTAGATATTTAATATTTATTTATAGTAAGCAATATATATTAATCTACTTTTGCAACAAAAATTATCAAGTTTATTATGCAGACTCTCGTAAATAAAGAAAACTTTTTAATTCTATAAGTATACTATTAATTTTACATCTCTATTTATGTAAAGGAGTAAATTTGTAGCCTTACGTGACCGATCACATTCTACAGTGAGTGTATCGAATTTATGGAGGATCTCGCGAAAAGTCGTATCGTAAGTAAGCGGGCGAAAGGAGGCTAATGAATACGAATGCGAACATCGTGGGTAATTCGCTGATAGCATATGTACAAAAAAAAAACGATAGGTTGAAAAATTGTGGCGCAAGAATAAAAGACGATAAAAAAAAACACAAGCAAATGAGCAAGCGAATTAGATGTTAGATAGTAAAAGAAATCATACACAAATCCTTCAAAGCAGATATAAAAAAAAAGTCTAAGAACAAAAAAACAGCCGTAATATAATTCGAAATGGTGAAATGGACCTTCCAGCTATGAAACCAAGATCGAGGTGGCTTAAATAAAATCAAATTGAATCCAAAACGGAGATCATTCAATTTGATTTTATTTAAGCCATCTTGGTCTCATAGCTGGAAGGTTCATTTCAGCATTAAAAAAAAAGTCTTTTTGCGTCTTTTCATATAAAAAAAAAGCAATGTCTTTTTTTTTCACTAACATCAGACGTTGAACTAAACGAATCTTGATTTTAAACGTTTTTAAGTTTCATCGAATTTTGATTCTAATTGTTAGAATATATTCGATATTGCAAATTTCGTGTCGTGTATAAAATTAAATCTGAAATTCGAGGATCCTACATATCGTTACAATATGCATACCGGAAGTTACTCATTGATCATTATGATATTTAAAGCCTCAGCTTCACGTTTTTACTATCTGTTTGAATCGCTACACGACGTCATCGTATAACAAGCAACACATGATGTCACGCTCGGGACATAAAATTATGCGTAGAATACGACGTAATCCTCGAAACGCGATCCAATACCCGGTGTCTGACAGATAACACAACAATTACATTGTGGAAATAAGCAGCGTGAAACATTTATTAAATGGAATTCTTCGTATTTGCGATAAAACGATGCAGCATGAATGACTAATTTAAAGAAGTCAATGATTAACTCTGACTATATAAATAACGTTATTTTTAAATCAAGAGTAATTTAAGCCCCGTAAGCGAACAAACGTTAAACAATAATATATATTAAAAAGATATATCTGAGCATTTTTTGCGATAAAAAAAAAAAACAAATTAAAAAGATATATCTGAACAATTTTTGCAATCTAGTTTAAGAGCGAAAAAATTTAACAAAATTGATATATTGTCATTATTAAAAAACTAAAAACTTGTGAGAAAAAATTTTTGACAAATAACACACATGAGAATCACTGGACCATAACGCGCTTATATATGTGTTCACTCGGTATATACGAACACCATGGCGTAAAAGTCGTCGTGTTTCCGTCGATCGTAAAAATCGAGGCTGGCTGACGCGCCTTCACAATGCATGGTCGGTCTTCAGCATCAGTCGTCGTTGAACTCTCGTCTCGTGAGCATCAGCTACAGCTGTCAAGTAGCGGTTGAATCGAATCGAAACAAATTTACGCGGATATACATATATGTAAGTACGACGCTGTATACAGCGGACGACCGAATATACCTAACCCGATGCACCCGAACAACCGAATCGCTTAACTTCTATCTTGCGACACAAAATCGGAGAAAATGCGAAGATATTGCAACTTTCGAAGGTTAAAACGCTTCCGACGCTTTCTCAAGTTCTTTGTTCGTATCATTCTTTTTATGCGCTCTGGTTCAGGATCATCTAACCTTGACCACTTAGAATAAGATCGTTAACATAACAATAGAAACACACATTTGCTCCGCTTACCGTGAACGTACGAAAATCACGTACAGATGTTTCGGAATTTTACGACCGACAAATCGCGCATTAATTTTTACGCACGAAAAGGAAACGTCGTTCAGATAAAATTTAACAAAAAGTTCAAAGTCAGAAAGAAGCAACATTTGTTTCAAATGTACGCACACACACACGCGCGCGCGCGCGCGCGCGCAAAATTTGGGGCAACTTTCGCGTGATATTTAATTGAAATTTTTTAAAATTAATTATCAGTATTTGTTTTCTCTTACAAGCAACGCAATTGTGAAGAATATTAAAAAAGTAATGCCGAAAAAGGAGACGCAACAAGGAAAGCAATGTGAAAGTATCCGTCTTCCTTTTTCGGAGTGAAAAATGTGTTCCCTTTTTCGTACGGCTTGCAATTGGCATCATTCTGACCTGATGCTTAATTTATATTGCGCGCATTTCTCTTCGAGCGAAATCGCGAGTTCTATCTCAAGAGAGTAACGAGATCTTGTTATTCATATCAGATTTCAGCTGTAGAAATGAACACTTTCGCGGTCAGATTGATTTCTCTATTACTTGATTGGTTTCTCTGTCGCTCTATTTGATTTTTGACACACAATATATTTTAGAATCACAAATTTTGTTTCTTACAAAAATTATACTTATCTGTGGTTCACGCTAGAAGAAATAACATATGTGTTTTTTTATTATAAAAATAATTTGTCATCAACATTTATCTTCTTGATGACTCAAATATATACACTATGCCGAAGCGATAAAAGCATTTCTTGTATCACTCGACGCACGCATTAACAAACGAGCATTGCTCAATAGTGATATAAATATGCAAGAACGCACAACGCGCTTGTTTCTACCGGTTTCGTTGCATTCTACCCATCTTGGGTATGTCATGGTCATTGTACGTGCCGACCTACTCAAGTCATCCACTCGGAGATGACGTAAAGTTTGCTTTAAATGCTTTTTTTTGCAACATTAATATCGTTTTCGCAATATATCCATTATGCTATTATTTCGATCAAAATGCCATCAAGTGACAATTATTCAAATGATATTGTAATTATTATTGCAAACAGTTGTCTTCGATAAAATTGACAGAATTTTGAATTTCTTGAATAACACACCGCGTCTCGAGTCATCGAATACATCTAAATATAACATGTGTTTCGAGTTTTATACGATCAGTCTCTCCGAATATTACAAAGAGATGTGTATTTGATTTATTTCTAATTTTTTTTTTTTAATGATCAGTCTCTCCGAATATATAAAGAGATGTATATTTAATTTATTTTTAAATTCTTTGATAATTTTTATTATGGTTAATGTTATAGTAAACTTTTACTCTGCTTTAAAAGAATGAAAAAACATCTCGGATCTTGTTATAATTAATTTCATTTGTGAAATTCGAGACAAAACTATGACGAAATAACAATGTTAATTAAAATACCGAGAACGCACGAGAATCTAAGAATGAAATTTCATAGTAAAATCGCAATAAATGTTCATTGCGATATATTAAGAGCATCCTGTGATGTGACATCATAAAGCTTTGTGCACATACGTGTAACACATAATTGTTGGATTGTGATCTTACACATCTGATAAAATAAAAGATTGCACGATCATAAACACATTTCTATGTCGAATGATAACGAATTATTAATTTTTATCACGGTCCACGATGTGTTTCCTTAATTAGATAAAAACGTGTGTGCCTACATATTTGTCTTTTTCTTTTTTTTTTTTCAACTTTCGCAAAGCGTGACTGTACATTACTAACCATATTGATTGTACTTTGTCTCCCGGTCCACGATGTGTTTCCTTAATTAGATAAAAACGTGTGTGCCTACATATTTGTCTTTTTCTTTTTTTTTTTTTCAACTTTCGCAAAGCGTGACTGTACATTACTAACCATATTGATTGTACTTTGTCTCCGTTCTTCTTTATGATTCATTGCGCTTTCGTGCGACTTACATTCTTGTAACTTAGAGTCTCTCTTCTATATTTGCATTTGTATATAAAGACACGCCTCTTCCATCAACGGAACACGTAATCGTATTTTATCAGCGCAAATTAATTTTTAACGAGTGATTTTATATTTTTTCCGATATATATATATATGTTGTATTCTTATCAATTTTACAATGTGAACAAAAGAGATTAATTATTTGTATTTTATTTACACAGAGATTGGCAGACAAAATGGCCACTGTTACAAGGTTGTCGATTGTAAAATTTCTCGAGCTTGTAAGTATGTTTTAATATAAATTTTACAATGTGTAAAAAAAAATTGTCAAACACACATAAATTATATTTTATAGTGTAAAATGGACGCGCTCGATAAAAAGTTTCTGCACGTTATTGCGTTATAAAATATGAAAAAAAAAAAAAAAAAAAAAAAAAACTACGTACGTAGTTACGTACATGAATATTCTTACGCTTGATGAGAAAAAGAAGGTTCGCTTCGAACAAATTCTATTTCAAATTAAGTAAAAATAGTACGAAGTTATACTGCATAAATCTATCGGGGTGTTTCCGTTCACACATGTGTTTTCAGTCGCTAGAGAGAAACACTATCCCCGGTCTTCTAACACTCCTCTAAGAATTCCACTGTGCTCTTGAATTTATTTTTAAGCATAGCGCTCTCCATTCTGTTTCTCTCTCTCTCTCTCTCTCGTTCTCTCTCTCTCTCTCTCTCTCAATCGATCGCTCTAATTTCAAGTTGCTTGTTCGAATCCATTTCCCAAATCAAGAAAATCAACACGTGTACATCAAAGTATTGTTGGTACATGTGTGCGCTAAATATCTTTCGCGATTCGTAAGACGACAAGAATGGAGAGTGACATAATCGACGTCGATTATCGCACAAGAGCGTTCCCTCCACTTGTTACGGTTTGCTTCAAGTTGTCCGGAAGTCAACCGGTATGAGAGTTTCCGTTAAGATTCTTTGAGATTATACGTGACATCACAATGCGCGAAGTTTGCGCCTTTTGTGAACAAGCGCAATTCTCATTTGCACGTGTTTCGAGACTATATATATATATTTAACAAACGTAGAAAGAAGTGACAGATTGAGCGCAAAACAAAATCCAATATAGAAAAATATATATATATATTTTGACTCTTGTAGCAGAGAGGAGATGGAGAAAATATGTTCAAAGAATTTTGCCGCTTTCTTCACTTGACGCGGTCACCTATTCCCCGCCGGTATACATATATAATTAATTTGTATTGCTAATACTACGCTACATACTTGCGGCACTCCTTGCAGCTGACGAGTGATTCTGTTAGTAAATACGACATATCGCGTGCTTATCGACGCGCACGTGGGTGATCCAGCCCAGGATTCTTTTAGATACATTGTCAGATGTGCGCGATGATCGCATCAAGGCCGACCGGTGCAATTTTGACGTTGACGCCATAGGATGAAAATTTATGTAATATCGAAATGAACGAAATATGCAAACTTGTTCTTTAATATTTTGTATTTTACAGCAATAATTAAAAATTATTTTTATTAAATTATTTTTTATTATTATATTATGTTATATTATTTTTTATATTATATATTATATTATATTGTATATTATTTTATATTATATTATTTTTTATATTATTTTTTATGTATGTCATATTATTAATTATTATAATTTTTTGAAATAATATTATTTTTCATATTTTATTGTTTTTTATTATTATTGTCTTTTTATATATACACACGTGTGTATAATTTTTACGTGAGCTACATAAGCATTCTAAAAAGTTTGAATGCTTTTCGCATTAATAGCGAAAATTAATGAGAGAGATAAAGAGAGATGTATTCTTTAGCTTTTAACTGTGTTAATGATCCGACGCGAGCTATATCCTAGCGATTAGATTTCACGAGCTGACCTGTTGCCTGGAAATAAAAGTTGTTTGCCAACTGGGGCAGTAATGGCAATATTTTATTTATGATGGAATCGAGAGTCCGTCGTACCCTCGTCAAGCGACCTAGTTTCATAGACGACGTTCGCTTCTTCACTTTTGGTAACAAAAACCTAGTACAACATTATTTTTCGCATGCGAACGAGACGAGATGAAAGAATAAAAATCGGTCTGAAAGAAAGAGGAAATTGTTGGCGCGTAGAATTTTTATCTAATTATTTTGATTACGTATATATATATATACATATATATATGTTGTTTTCTTTTTCTATCACAGCTCTTGGTGTGCATCCTTATCGGATTGCACTACAACTCCTTCAATGCGGGTGATCAACATACCGCGATGATAACTATGGGAACTTTCGGCGGATATCTGATCATTCTGATCGGCTTGTTCATCGGCAGTGTAATGGGAACACCAGTTAATCGCCGTGTGGTAAGATGTGTGAAACAAAAATAAATTATAATTATAACAGTTATTATCTCAGACATTGCGCCTGAGATTTGTTTTTTTTTTTTTTTTGTTTTTACGAAATGCCTGCTACTTGTTTTAGGATCTCTTTTTCTCGCTCATCGGATGCGCCCTGTTCATCGCCGCGGGTTCGCTCAACATTGACTACTTTCACAAAATATCGTACAAGTCGTCATTCCGTGACACCGGCTTGGCCAAGGGTTCCCTCAGCATCATCGAGGGCGCAATATTTCTCGTGGATGCGTTTCTCACGTTCCGGGGTGAAAACTGAGACCTGAGTCCGCTTGCGAGCACAACAAGGGACTGCGCGGCCGACGATGTGTTTAAACCACATTCCGTGATTGACGTGAAACCCTCCGCAGAATCCTCTCTCTCTTTCTCTCTCCTCTCTCTCTCTCCTCTCTCTCTCTCTAATCTAAGAGATGATACTGCCAAAGAGTTTCCTGACATACGAGATAACTCTTTCATTCTCCGCCGGGTAGCCGGAGAAGATTATTCGCGCGCGAATCGTGCGTAAGAAAGAAGCTTCGCCAGTTTTTTTTTTAACCAAATATATCACGAATTTTACGCAGTTTTTTTTTCACAAAATTCAACGAGATTCAAACGCTCTTTACTCACGATTTCATAAGCGCGAGAGATATGAACATTCTGTCACAACACGAATTGAAATTCATTTCGGGGAAATAGTTTTTAATAAAAAATACACACATATATTATCTGACGTGCCTTCCCTCTTTTTTTTTTTTGTACGTATAGATCGATCAAAAGTTCTGAACTGTAATTTAGATCAATGTTTTAATATACGATATTTTTTGCAGTACCTAATCCGATATAGTACAAAATGTGTGCAGGGATCTCACATGTGTAAAAAAAAAGCGAAAGATTATATATATATACGTATATACTGCGTAAACTGATAATGACAAATGGTACTCACACATAAGTGGCAGTCCCTTCGTAAAAAAAAAAGCGGCCAGTTTGTTTATTATATAATCGTCAATGTACTGATAATGTCGCACTCGTAATTATTTAAGTTCGACAATAGAACAACAGCAATATTTATCAAGACTCTTTTATTTTATAATAATGTCGTTTATGTGTGTCTCAAAAATCTTAAACATTCATTCGCGAACAATTTTTATGTGTATAAATATAATCGCCGTTCATTATATCTCTTCATAATATATTCCACCAAAAATGTTTACCTTTGTACGTTTCTACTTTGTAAGACTTATCTCAACAATAAAAAAAGAGAATTATGTAATACAAAAAAGAACGACGTTTGAGGAACATATTTTTTTTTTTTTTGTTATCATCACTCCCCGAGACTTCTCTTCTCATCTGACGTATTTGTTGCAAAATATGAAAATATTTGAACGTGATTTTCGCACGTTCATTATCGTGGCGTTACACAATGCCCGTGCGCAATATTATACAACAAAGCGCAGGAAGTTTCACGTGACGTAACTTTCGAGAGCATAAAATGCATTTTAAATAATCTTGAAGATATGCGTATCCGTTACGTTCTTTGATAATGTTTCGCAACTATAAAGAGTTTAAATACTTCGAGTACAAAGTTTCAAATTGGCAAATTTGGTTCAAAATAAATAAAATAGATCTTATATTGTTTGCAGTCTTTGCATATAATATTATTATTTAATATTCTGTATTCTCTCTCTTTGTGAATTATATTTAAAAAAAATTAAAAATTCTACATTTACGTGAAATTAAATTTTTTTCACGTAAATAAATGTCTCTCTCTCTCTCTCTCTCTCTCTTTCTCTCTCTCTCTCTAATAAATAGATTCATCATTTGACGTCATTCGATATATCGAAATGGAATAGCTTGATGCAGCCAATCAGAGACTTCATTTCTCACGTCTATTTTATTTGTTAGGTTTGCGTCTTTATCGCAATTGTTTGTTACGTTCAAGATAAAAAATAAAACTCGCTTCGATGTTCGACGCGAGTTACGTGATCGGAGATTTCTCGAAACCATCGCGTCGAGCCTTCCCCGAGTATCGATAGCGCTTGTATTCGATCATTTGGCTTTGCGAGAGGCCGTTCACGTTCGTGCGTAACGTGCACGCGCGCGCGCGCGCGCGCGTGTGTGTGTGTGTGTGTGTGTGTGCAAGTAAGAGAGAGAGAGAAAGAAAAAGAGAAATAGAGAACAGTGTGGATTGGAGCACCGTCGCCGTCGTGCGTTCCTGAAAGGGAGCAACCTGTAGTTTATTTATCAATAAATAAGCGCATATGCGCGGTGCAAAGTGTTAAATGCGTGTGCAAAATGTCGAACCCCGGCGGTAGCAGGAGGAACGGGGCCATGAAGATTCGTTTGACGAGTGAGTGTGTGGCGTCCTCGTCCTCTTCGGATGTCGAGCGTCTCGCCGAGCGTGAAAGTCTCGCGGCGACACAGCGGTCCCAGCTTTCATGCGATAGGCACTTGCCTAAGCGTTCCGTCTGTTTTTCATCAACATTATTTCGTATGATTAAATAATCACACCGCACGATCGAAAGATAAATCCGAATCGAGACATCGAACTGTCTCGGATTCATCCTCAAACATCCTATCCGCGTTTTGTCGAACTTCTTCATGCTAACTCTCTTGACAACCAAATTGATTCAATACCTCACCGCGAGAACTCTCCGGGAGGCCTGAAGAAAACTTATATATATAAAGATTATCTTATACTTTCTCGACAATTATATACGTCTATTGTTTGACGTGTTAATTTTTTGCATCTCCATCAAATATCAGAAATATTTACTAATTACAAGTATATAAACAATGTGCGTAATATACACGATCTTTGTTTCATACATACAACAATATATAAATATAATAATAAATAGATAAAATAAAATGAGTAATGTTTCACAACGTGAAAGTATATATATATATATATATATATGTGTATGTATTTGTAAAAAAAGCATCAAAACAACAAATTGGCATTTTATGATAAGAAAGCAAATAGACATGGAAATAAATATTGAAAATTAAATTTGATTGTTTTTTAAAAAAAAGCAGAAATTGTAGATTCAAAAGAATATTTGAAAAAATGACATTTTATTTTGTATAAATAAATATAATATGAAATTAATGTTTTTTTTTTTTTAGTTCTATGCGCCCGTAATCTCGCCAGAAAAGATTTATTCCGTGAGTATATATATCTTTTTATAAAAGTGGCATATGTGTGTTTGTGGACACAAAGACAAAGGAAATAATTTAATAATTTTTATCTTCAGGCTTGCCTGATCCTTTCGCTAAGATAACTGTTGATGGTTCAGGACAATGTCACAGTACAGACACTTGCAAAGCTACTCTTGATCCCAAATGGAATCAACACTACGATTTGTAAGCTTTTGAAATTATAAAAAAAAAAAAAAAAATGCACATTCTATTACCTAAGAAATACGAATGATTTTATTGGTTTGGTCTTTTTTGATGCGCGCAGATACATCGGAAAGAATGACGGGATCACCATATCCGTGTGGAATTATCGAAAGTTTCACAAAAAGCAGGGTGGCGGGTTTCTGGGATGTGTGCGCATATTATCAAACACCATTCAAAGACTTAAGGATACAGGATGTATGTTTGTGTGAAAATTAATTAGAACGTGGTGTTAATACGAGAGGAACATGGAAAATGGAAATCCTTACTTTTCAACATTTGCGCACTCTCTTACAGATCAACGATTGGATTTGTGCAAAGCCCATTCGGACGATACGGATGTTGTGAAGGGACAGATTGTGGTATCCTTGATGTCGAGAGATGGCCACAATGGTGCCGTGAGCAACACGGTCGGGCACAATGCCGTGGTCGACGTTCTTGGCGATCTCAGTTGTCCGAACGATTTACCGGACGGCTGGGAAGAAAGGAGAACGGAAAGCGGTCGACTTTACTATGTAAATCATCACACAAAAAGTTCGCAATGGATCCGTCCAAATACCCGGTAAAGTATTCGATCGAATGCAATAATTTCCTCTCTCTTTCTCTCTCTTTCCTTTTGTGTGTGTGCGTGTGTGTACGTGTGTATGAGAGATTTAGAGCGAGTTCACTAATAATTCACAGTATATTTTTTAAACAAAATGATTGTTAGGCCTAGCAATGCTATTATACCAACAACACCAGAACCACCGCCAGTGTTGTCGTCGGAACCAACGTGTCCAACGAGCAGTAGCGCGAGCTCGCCAAATGTGAGAACCGAAGAGAGTCCGGCGCGCCACACGTCCGATTGGAATCCCGACGTGGTTCAAACGCCTAGCCGTGATAATAGCACGGTTATTCAAAATACTCCGAGAAACACGCCGCAACAACAGAATCAACGAAATCAGCAGAATCAGCAAAACGTGAGAAACACAACGACGCCGACGACATCGGCGAGAGAGAGACGCGTCGTCAGAGGAACGGACGAACAGAATGGAAATCAAAATTTAAACGGCCGAGTGGAACGTGGCCTTAACAATGGAAGTCAAACGCGAAGGCCTAATCGAAACAGAAACAGAAATAACATTATGCCAAGTAGCGATAGACGCACCGATCCCCCACAACCGTCCGACTTACCTCGCGGCTATGGTATAAATCTCTCAAATATTTATATATATATACACGGAAAAAAAAAGTTTTGTTATTATATGGTCAGCAAGAAAAATGGTTGACCCTACGACATTTTTTGTTTCATCAACAAAATGTTTTGTTGGCAAAACAAAAATTTTACTAAACTTAACAAATGTTTTTTTGCTGGCCATATAGTAACTACTTTCTTGCTATTCTAGCAAATCTTTTTTTTCCGTGTATAGTATCGTGTAAATAATAATAACAAGTATCATATAAATAATCGTACAATATTTTATGCGTAATATCGTTAATAGTACAATCTCCAAAAAAGTAACATCTATATATATATATATATATATATATATATATATATATATATATATACGACGAACTATATTGTGTAGAAATGAGAAAAACTCACCAAGGCCAAGTATACTTCTATCACGTACCGACTGGATCTTCGACCTGGCACGACCCGCGAATACCGCGTGATTTACAAGCTAACGAATTGACCAACGAACTTGGTCCTCTTCCCAGCGGATGGGAAATGCGGCAAACACAAAGCGGACGAGTATATTTTGTAGATCACAACAACAGGACAACGCAATTTACCGACCCGAGATTATCCAGTCAAATAATAAGCAATCTGTTGAAGTAAGTAAAAACATATGAAAAACAACAAGAGAATGGAATTATTATGAAAAAAAATGCAAATAATTCTTTGATTTGATTGTCAACAGCAGGAGACAAAATAATAATATGAACAGCCAAACTGCGAACAACGCGAACAATTCGGTGACGAGCGAAAGCGCTGAAGACACTACGACTTCTTCACCGATTGTTCAATCCAATACTACGCAGCAACTCACGAGAAATGAAAATGGAACTAACAATAATTCTTCAACTGGTGAGTAGCTTATCTCGTGCAACATTTTCGTCGAGATTAAACTAATTGTTCTCCTCGAAAAAACCAAAAAAAAAAAAAAGATGTTAATCAAAATACGCAACGCACGGAGTGCATCGAAACATCCGTACGTATATATATATCTTGCATCCGTGCTCTCGCGTACAGATATTACATATTTGATACCAAACAATCACATAATATCTACTTCCACAAAAAAAAAAAAAAAAAAAAAAAAAAAAAAAAAAAAAGAGCGCATTGTTTACATCTCGCAGTTTTATCTTATCTGCGAGATTGTCTGTCTTATGCCCAGTTCTTGGGTCTACTTGATCAGTCTATCTTGTGTTTTGTGTGAACTTTGAAAACAAAAATGCCGTTTCATTTTGGCAGAATTTTGTTCGTCAGGACGCATTATTGTAATAACACAAATCACAAAACTATCTCGCTTCTGTGTGCATGAAATATTTATTATCGATATAACTCGCGCGTAACAAAGAGTTCTTTGTATTTTCAGTTGAAAACGCGTCACCTCAAAACGCTCAAACGGTGTCGGAATTGCCTAAGGAGCTTATGGACAACGAGCTTCTTCCAAAGTACAAACGCGATTTAGTGGCAAAATTGAAATGCCTGCGAGCTGAACTGAACGCTCTTCAACCTCAGAGCGGACACTGCAGATTGGAGGTGTCGAGAAATGAAATATTTGAAGTAAGCTAATTTTTTTTTTTTGGTTTATAACATTTCTCGGAGTACTTTTTGTGAGAAACAAAAGACAAAAAAAAACTAAATATTTCCTTTTAGAAGATGATGTGATTTTTTTTTTTTTTAATAATTCGTTCTCTCGTATATAGGAATCTTACAGATTGATTATGAAAATGCGTCCAAAAGACATGCGCAAAAGACTCATGGTGAAATTTCGCGGCGAGGAAGGACTCGATTATGGGGGAGTAGCGCGCGAGTGGTTGTACTTGTTATCCCACGAAATGTTAAATCCGCAATACGGACTCTTTCAATATTCGAGGGATGACAATTACACGCTTCAAATCAATCCGGATTCGGGTATAAATCCAGAACACTTGTCGTATTTTCATTTCGCTGGAAGAATTATAGGAATTGCCGTTTTTCACGGTCATCACATCGATGGTGGTTTTACAACTCCGTTTTATAAAATGTTACTTAACAAAGCTATAACATTGAGCGATATAGAAGGAGTCGATCCCGAACTGCACAGAAGTCTTACGTGGATGCTGTGAGTAATAATAATAATAAAAAAAAAAAACAAAAAAAACAAAAAGAAACATATTATTAACTCTAATACTAAAGTAAACCTCTGAACTTGTTATCCGAGCGATTTTTGAAAATGAGATATATTTTAAACACTATTTAATTACTATTTAATTATTTAATTATTATTTTAAAAAATTTTAAAAAAATGTTTAAAATATCGAAACTAAATATTATTTCCTCAATTTGGAATAAAGTTGAATAAAAAATTTTCCAAATTTTTTGCAGATTGTTTGCAACGTTTTAACTGATAAAAAATTGCGCCGGATTTTAAAAGTAGTGTGTAAAAAAATCTCTTTACACAAAATTAGAGTTAATATTTATCGCACGCCGCGCTGTTTTTTTCAAAGATGTGTAACTCAGTTACATGATTTTTATCATATTTCCTCACGTTGTTACGAACAGGGAAAATAGCATAGACGGTGTGTTGGACGCCACGTTTTCCGTGGAGCACAGCAGTTTCGGAGTGTTGAAGAATCACGAATTAAAACCGTTTGGCAAAGACATATTGGTAACGGAAGAGAACAAACGGGAATACGTTCGTTTGTACGTCAATTATCGATTTATGCGCGGTATCGAACAACAATTTCTGGCGTTACAAAAAGGATTTCACGAGCTGATTCCTCCGATATTGCTAAGACCGTTTGACGAGCGTGAATTGGAATTGGTTATCGGCGGTTTGGGCACCATTGACATAAACGATTGGAAAATGAACACGCGGCTTAAACACTGCACGCCCGACACGCCGGTTGTTCAATGGTTCTGGCAAATAGTTGAGTCGTACGGCGAAGAAATGAGAGCGAGATTGCTTCAGTTTGTTACCGGCAGCTCCAGAGTTCCCTTACAAGGATTCAAGGCTTTGCAAGGTTTATTTTAATTATAATTATAACGCGCTAAATTAAACACATCAAGTATTGCATATAAATAAATAAATAAAAACAAAAAAAAAACAAAAAAAAACGTTTTCAATGTAATTTCGCAGGATCGACAGGAGCGGCGGGTCCACGGCTTTTCACTATCCACGCTGTTGATGCCCCGAGCGAAAACTTACCGAAAGCTCATACGTGTTTCAATAGAATAGACATACCGCAAAGTTACCCGAGTTATCAAAAGATGCTTGACAAACTTACACAAGCTGTTGAGGAAACTTGTGGTTTTGCCGTCGAATAAAATATACGGTATGTTCTTGCAGCTTTAGCACGATCGTTTCTAAACGTTGCTAATAAGGTTAGGCAATCCCCCCCCCCCCCCCCAAAAAAAAAAACTCTCTATAACAGATATAAATGTTTGGTCAGATTCTGTTGTTCAAAAACAAAAAACAAAAAAAAAAAAAAACAAAAAAACAAACAGAGAGTTTTATATATATATATTTCTGTATAATAAAAAATTATAAAATTATAAAAAGAAAACTTTTAGAAGAAATGTAATAAAATCTTTTAAAAAAAAAAAAAGAAGAAGAAAATGTTAATATATATAAAAACTATCACTTGAGAAAGTTCGTTAATTTGTGTACAAATGTTTCTCTCTGAAAGGCCTTGCAATTAATTAGATTATAGCGCGACTCGACTTTGCATATCACTCACACACACGATAATTTAGTTTAATTAAAAAAAAATAAAAAAAAAAAAAACCACATCGATTAAATACTTTTTATTATTTACAAGTTTTTAACGTTAAGTTCCGTTAGAGTTTTTAGTATATAAATTAATAATATAAAAAAAAGACAGAACCACATGCACAAGAAGCGGAAGATAACAAATCTTCTGAAAGTTATTATTATTATTATTATTATTATTATATTATCGGATGTGTATATTGTACAGATTTTGTTTATTCAAACAGCGTCAAGAATCTCGAGATTATAAATGTAGGAGTAAATGTGTATACGTAGATGACACAAGAAATCAATTAGCATATCTAACAATGTGCTTTTTTTATCTGAAAAATTTTAATGTTTGATATATATTACTACGAAACTCTCAGAAGTGTATAAGCGCGCGTGACAAGATGCACAGTCAATTAATTCCATATCAATCATCCATCCTGATAGATTCTATTAGAATTAATAGGATTTACGTAGATATTTTACATTTTCGCTCTAGACTCGTGTCAGCTGGACACAACACAATGCTGCAAAATCTAAGTATTTTGAAATGTATTATGTCGTACCTTGACGTTTTATATATATATGGAAGACGTGAATTTGTATATATATACATACATATATATTTATATATATATATATATACATATATATATATGTATATATGTATATGTACGACTGAACGCAAGTGTTAAATAATAATTATTATTAAAGAGATATCAATTAAACAAAATGTTTTATAAAATTGATAGATAGTATATATAAATGGAGCAATATATCGTTATTGACGTGTTCAAAGTTGCATTTAATTTGTTCAATTTGTCGAAATACATATATGTATAATTATGAGATACGTCAATTTTTATATATTTTATTGTTTTTCCCAACTTCAAAGATCATTTTTCATTTGCGGAAAGACGAATACTTTCAAATAAACCGCGCTTTCATTTTTTTTTTTTTTTTCGAAATTTGCAGCACATTCGTTCAGAGCTAACGCAGTCGGCAAAAATGTTGTTATTAATACACAACTGTCAAGAATATCAATTGTTGAATCAATATTACCGAATGCGTTAACATAAATGTAAATAATTTATAATGGAAATTTAAACGATAATCTTCATATATATATACATATAACCGAGCGTTTACATGTTGATTTTAACACTGGTTTAATTAAAATTATATAGTATGGTAATAAAAATGTGCTCTAAATTAACGATTATAATACATAATCGTTAATTTAGAGCAAGCATTTTTTTAAAGAACAGAGTTCATTCGACGGGTTTATATAAGCTTAAAAAAAAGTTTTAATCAAACTGATTCTCTTTTGTTGAAGGATTTCACAAAGTAATATATGTCTATACTTTACTAGATTACTTTTAGTAAAAGTATAGCACTGTCGCTTTTATATATGTATATGTGTATACCCATACATATATATATATATATATATATATATTTGATTGATAAATAAGTGTATATCCATACATATATTTATCGCACAAAAAACTCATTTGGTGCAGCACTCAATGCTGTTCTAAAGAAATTTGAAACAACACGAATTATTATTTTGTATAAATTATTAATGGATTATATGTTATATTATGCACTTAACACTGTGATGACGTATATATTGTAAACAAAAATCTATTTGAAAGAACAAAGTCTCGAATATTGAAAATTAATGCGTCAGTTTTTACGTCCATTTTTATATTACGTGTGACGTCACATTGTGAGATAGATTTGGAAATCTTCTTTGTAAAAAAAAAAACAAAAAAAGCATCGTCGCTTTTTTATTTTTTTCGTTCAAGTTGTTCGAAGTATCACCCGTTTTCACTGTCCGAAACACGGTCTGATTACTGTGGATCATATACTGATAATAATATACTGAGAGAAGTGTTTAGCTATTGCGACTCAAGTAGGGTAATGGATAAGTTTTTCTTAGCGTTAATGTGTTATATCTCACTTGCACAACAGAACACACACTTCTAATAATGTTTATATCTGTTGCCTTTAAAATTTGGGTTACATACAATCCACACAGAACGAAGAACTCCATTAGATATCCATTAGACGTCAACAGCTCCATGCGATATCTAATAGATTTCTAACGAAATGTATTTTGCTCTGTATGGGAATCGTATATACTTCGTATAGTCCGCTTCATCAATATTCGACACAGCCCAATGCCTCAATATTCTACATATGAACAATATAATTTTTTATGAGATATATTACCGCGCCAAATGTATGAAATAATTAAGAAAAATAGCTATTTTCTCACACAGCATCTGAAGAATCATTGAAAAAAAAAAAAAATACATATAAAAGTTTACATATATATAATTAAGAAAGTCGAATAAAAATAAAATATTTTAAATATAAACAACGATTGAAAAATGTATTCGTAGAAAAAGGTCAATCAGCAGAGCTCTCCCATCGTTCTTTTGTTAAGAGTCTTTAGTCAGTATATAAATAATAAAGGCCTTGAAAGTGCCTTGTGTATTAAAACGTTGATGTTAAACCACGAAAATTAACATATAACAATATTTTGGAATGTGATAAAAATTTTACTCTCTTTTCGAAACAATATCTAATTATAAGTAGATGCATACACATGTATATGTTATGTTATAATTATCAAGGTATATTATATACGACTATATATATATATATATATACATAATTAGTGATTAAAAAATGGCACAGAATATAATATTAAGATTATGATTGAAATAAAAAATAGCCAAAGAAATATCGCTGAAAACTTGTAAGTTTTATTCAAGACAACTCCTGTTTTTATATAACTTTATCTTCGAATATAATATCAGAATATTATTAATTTATTATCTCTCTCTTATTATTCGTTGTTATATTAACGTTTTTTGTCTAAGCTAAATTCCTTTTCTATACAGTTGAATTTAAATAAAGTGAAACGCTCGGGACTGGATTCAATCAGTATTGTGAAATTTCCCCTTTCATCCCTATTCTGATAACAATCAAGCTCATTAAAAAAAAAAAAAACTGAGTGTTTCGTCAGAGAGAAGCCTGAGAGCGACCAGGTCCATAAGAGAATATGTAATCACTTTTCCGCTACGTAAACTAGCGCATGTCCACGAGTGGTACACATTGGAACTACGCAGCCAGTTCACGAGCGACATGTCGGTATGTTCACATCGTGCAATTTCTATTCCGTGCTATGTGCACGCGTCCAAATGGTCACCTTCTTCAGGCGTGTGAGTATATTCGCGAGCGTGGATTTGATTTCTTTTGAAATTTAAAATGATCGGTCTCG